CTAATCATATTATAATATAAAGTAATCAATAATATATAACTGATTAATATTCTACTAAAAGTTCATATCATAATAATTATAGTATATTGCTCTCATTTTATCATTATTGTAAATTTACATAAATTGTATTGGCACTTAAATTTTAGCTTAATACTATAATACCCGTATAAATTAATCAGTTGAAATTATAAATTTTGATTGGTTAATTATCACGAAAAATCACGTGTAGATCTACAAAAATTAGCCAATCATATGAATGTCTGCCCATGATGTAGAAGGTCGGTTTATTATTGTAAGAGAACTTTTAGTGGAGTTCCGTTAACTTTGCTCTATGTATTTTAATATACAGTAGATGTAATGAAGATACTTTTTTCATATCTCATTTGGGGCCAGCAAAAAGGCTTGCAGATTTTGTCGGAGCATAAATAATAAGATATTTTTCCATGTGACTTGCGTAACTTTACTGTGACAAGCTTGTCATACTTCTTCCAATAAGATTTCGAATAAAAAAGTAGTTGCTAATCATCGTTTCGTACAACCTGTGATGTCTGATTCCAACTCACTATCAATTCTAAAAGGAGAAATCAATCGTCTTGGATTTGTTTCAGGCGAAAAAATAAGTTTACTCGCTCACTTTACCGAAAATGTGGAAAAAATTGCTGTCGCAGTATCTTGTCTTAATGATTTTGATTTGGATGAAGATAAACGTACTTATTTGAGGTCTCTAATATCGCCACCTGGTACATTCTAAGATAATGTTTCTTAAACTCTCGTTTTCTGTCATATTTGCCAATACTTATTTATTCTTGTGCTTTTCTTTCCTGCTTCTTATTCCAAAAAACACATTCGCTTATTATAGTTCAACCCGTTGCTGGTGAGTCGTAATAAATTTAGTCGATGGAATGAACGCGTCTTAGCTTGATTTTCGAATAGCCGTTATTTTCATTCTCGTCTTTCAAACCTATACTATTTTTCTCGTTATTATTCCTTTCCTTATTATTATTGCTTTTTCATTCCTGTTGATCCAGGTAGACCCGCTAAGAAACAAAAATTAGGAAGTAAGTTTTCACCAGGGGGGGGGGGGGGGTAGAATAAGCGAGCGGGCGAGATTTTATGGGGCCTGGGG